CCCCCCCCCCCCCCTGGCATTTTGCTCAGGCTACGGCCCTGATTTGATTTTGCTTGCTTTGGTACGTTTAACGTCCGTTAGACGTGTAAATCCAATGATGACATCACAATTCTGCGTAAGTCTATATGTCTCCTGACACAAGTTTTAACCTATACGGCGCAGGTCTACCAGTTGAAGATGTAATCTTCTTCATATTGTGACATTTTGCAAATGGTCTCATCCACCGCAGGCTCTGTACTCAGTATCAGGTCAAGACCCTTTTTTTTTTTTTTTTTTTAATCGGTGATGTTGTCTGAAATTTTATTTATTTTGAACATGCTTCCTCAGTCTGACTGAACATTTGGAGTAAACAGGAAGCGCAATCCGTCACGCACACTCGCGTTGACTCCGTCATTTTTTGACATCGAAATTCTGTCACCATGGTAACGAAATTTTCTAGACAGACGCGCACGTACATTATTCAAAGTGTATTGACGTGACCTCAGACAGTCTCTGGCGTCCGAGGACAGTTCCTCGGCACCCTGAAGACCGCGGTTAACTGGACGACAAGACAGCGGGGACAACCAACTGCTCCCTGGAGAGTGAGGTCATTGTCGTTACTTCAGGGAGGCGGTCACAGAGAGGAGCCAGTTCACAAGACAGGCTGCATCCTACAGTGAACCACAGGGTACCTCACCTTGGTCAAGAGTCTCAGTCATTGCTAGGAATTGTACTCAAACCGCTGCTTTTAGTGTTACCGACAGAGGCAAGTTTTTACTGTTACCAACAGAGGCAAGTTTTTACTGTTACCGACAGAGGCAAGTTTTTACTGTTACCAACAGAGGCAAGTTTTTACTGTTACCGACAGAGGCAAGCTATATATTTATTAAATATTAAAAAATATTAAATATTAAATATTAAAAATATTATATATTAAAAAGCTGACGTCAGAACTTGGCCTCTGATCATCTCTGAAACTGTCGGTGTAAACCAGCGGTTACAGACACAAGTTAGACCAGATAACGGAGCCTTCAGTCTGTGTAGTATTCACAGACTCAGGGTGAACTCCTAACTCTACAGACTCAGGGTGAACTCCTAACTTTACAGCCTCAGGGTGAACTCCTAACTCGACAGACTCAGGGTGAGCTCCTAACTCCACAGACTCAGGGTGAACTCCTAACTCCACTGCCACAGATTGATAAGGACGTGTCGGGGCAATCACAGCAGCACTTGCTTTGAGGACACAGTCTTTACTGGCTGACAACATAGTGGAACCGCCTCTACCCACTCAAGACCAGTTCAGACCAGGAATATTTTGGACTGCAAGGCAGACTAAATTGCGTCGTCAGAAAACAAGGCCAAGGAGACCCCAATAGTCTACAATGTGCCACAGAACCTGTTTGTATTCTCCTGATGGCAGTTATTCGGTCTAAGGTATTAGACTTGGTGCGAACAGGCATTACCTATAAGGAAGTAATAATACAGCCCATACGTTAATGTTACACGTACCCTGCACTTAACCTGCTTCCAAAATTAACGCTGATAAACAGAAATTTACGTCCAAAAACAGCAAGGCCAGAATATAAACCGGATTTGAGGACAAGCGTGGAAATGGATTGCCGGACAAGTGAACATTACAAGCAATTCTAAAACGTATCAGATATGACTTACTATTGGGCGAAGTTGGCGATATCAATTATCAGCGATGTAAACTTGCTAAACTGAACAAAAAACAATGATATATGCGACCCTTACTGACCACAACTGAAAAAAAATTATTATCCAAGCTGCAGCCGTCCTTCATTGTATAGCGGGGGAGGACGTTATGATAAATACTTGGTATTATCGATACAGGCGTTTCCAATTAAACGAGACGTTTTTAGATACAGGCGTTTCCAATTAGACGGTTTTTTTTTTTTTTTTTTTTTAGATTTGGGGTGTTTTTAATCTGGGACACACTGTCAAATGAGGAGGCTAGAGGGTTCGTGTTGGAATCGTTTGTAGTACAACACGCCCAGTTTTTTGCTGCATGATTTTATCTTTTCTATGACCCCATTCCCAGAGATTAGATCGATCTACTTTAGATCGACCTAACTCCCTGGGGGTTCACGCTAAATAGCTGTCAGCCGAGCGGGCACGAAAGTTAATTACCCCCTTACAGCTTGTAGTGCCAATTGAAATAATTCATAAGGAATAAAAAGACTTCACAGTTATGAATTCAAAATGTGCACTCTTGATTGCAAATCCCTGTTTGTAATGCCAATTACATTGCCTCAGTGATCCCGCTTGTTAAGTTAGTAAGTTAGGGCTTTAACGTCATAGATTTTCAATTTTTTATTTCTTTTCATAATTGATTCGATTTTATCTTATAGTGTTTATTATAAGGCGTATTGAGGTCTTTGTTGAATACACCATAGGGGAAATTATTTTTCTGTTGTTTTAGAATACTGGTGAAACGGGATGGCATAAAAATTACACGAGAAGAGATCAATTTGGTCTCTTCTTGAAATGTCAGGCCAAATCACGTTAAGTTAATACTGATGTGAACACACTCAGAGGACGGAATCATTCATCGCCTCTCTGTACGTAGCTGACATTTGCTACAAACAGTCTTCTGGTTCTAAAGAAACATGGTAACATGCCTTGAATACCCTCCATGGCAGTTATGTAATATTCAGAGCGTGTTCCATGCTGCGCCAAGACATTGATATTCTTTACATTCCTCTTTGGCGTTTATAAATAAATAAATGAATGAATAAATAAATAATTATAGCACGTGATTGCATCACAGGCATTTTGGCAAAAGCAGAGGCGAACAGTAGATATTGGCACCTCATATTGCACCCAAATAAGAATACAAAAGTTCACGATAATGCTGAAATATTCAGAAAATTCCCTGACCCACAGGGTATGTAACCTTGGAGACGCCACTGTTTATAGTGGCGTGACGTAATATGTCTGCTCGGCTGTCGTCTGCGCAGTTGTAGCGACCGCCCATGTCAGCGCGGGACATTTCCCGTCTGCTTCTTCACTTCAGTAAAGAATTGGCTTTTATTCCACAGAAAGCCAAAAAATGAATCATTATCCAAAAGTTATATAATAAATTCAAAAGGGTATTACACGGTGAAGACTTTAAGTCAGAA